TCACCAGACCTTGAGTGTCCCCCTGAGAAGTTAGGATCTCCCCTAGTAGGAATAAATGCACAAACTTCAAGGGTGGGGGCAAGAGTATGTAGACAAACCCACATGGTGGTTCCTGCAACAGGGAATAGTATAACTTTCTCTTTTTAATCTTATCCTTTTAAACATTTTCCCCTGGCAGTTCATCCAGATATTGCTGGAAGACGAGGCCACCAAAAGCACCATTGAACTCAGTCTTCCTGTGGGGCAAGAAGCCCTTGTCACCTTGGAAGATGGACAAAAATTTGTGATTCATGTATCAGATGTACCCCAGAGCTCTGAAAATATTTATTTCAGAGAAAACAGTGCTAATATGTAAGATTGTTTATTTTAATAGGGCATGAGACAACTGGTAGACTTGCATTCTTTAAAAATATATTAAATGCTAAAGTTTCTGTATTAATATGAATGATTTTATGTACACAATAGATGCATTGTCTATTTTACGTGTATATGTATTTCAAGGAGTTGGGTTGATTAAACATATAAAGTGATTTGGAAAATAATTTTTGCCTCAGTTGCTTTCTTTTGGGGCTTTCCAAAGTATTTCTATTTTGGGACTTAACAGAAAAGAAATTTGAGAAATCTTGTTGGGAGTAAATGAATGGTTAAGTCTCCAGAGGAAGATAAAATTTGAAGACTACAAACTGGTACAGGTAGTAAAATGCCAGTGGGAACATTTTTCTTCCCCTTGGTAGGGCCCCAATACAAAGAAAATTTGTAGAAAGATTTCCTCAGGCAGTGAGAAACAAAAAANAAAAAACTAATTTGATGTCACTTTTATACATACTCACTCATCCATTATACACTTTTGGTTCACCATCCCAATTTCCTTAAAGTGAGGTAGAATTTTGAATGCAACAATGTTTGTAATAAATGCCCATGTCCTGCTTCGGTTCACTTTCTGTAGCAAAATCCTAAAAACTGTGGAAACTAAGAATAGACAATTGTTACACCAGATCCATTTTATGTAACTGATTATAATATTTAAAAGGAATTAAAAAATTATGCTTAACATGATTTCTGATATAATTGAAAAGAATAGAGAATATTTTATTGATCTTATATTACATCTGAAATGAACTAAATTTAATTTACATTCAAATATGAAATGAATTAAACTCACATGTGAAATGAATTAAATTTCCCTAAAAGCTGGGCCGGCCCGGTGGCGCACTGTGCTAGTGCGCTGCTTGGGAAGCGCGGCGGCGCTCCTGCCCGAGGG